TATTATGTTTAATTTGCCTCGGAGTTTGATGCCTAATTTGAGTGTAATCCACCGTTCATATTGAGTCACATTCTGATTAATAGACTTGTTTAGTTTAATGAGATTTTTTTTTTTTTAGGGTAAGTTTGGAAACCCGAAAAATGACTTCTGGAAAATGTTTTTCAGTTTCTGGTGTTTGGCAAGAGGGGGGAAAATGAGGACAATGAAAAATGATGCTTTAGTTAAATGAAAATAGGTATGTTTTGGGGGAAGTCATTTTCCAAGGGGTGCGCATGCAAAAAATTTCGGGTCTAATTTTTTACGGGTTTTTGCGAGTCGGCCCACCAAACTCGCAGGCTAGGGTTCATGCAACCATAGCCGCTCCATGCGGGTTGGCGGGCCCCACGGACTTTTTTTTTTTTTTTTGAATTCAAAGTTAAAAAAAATAAGTAAAGTCTACAAATTATATATATATATATATATATATATATATATATATAAAGAGTGTTATGCACATAAGGATTTTATCAAAAGTATCAAACAATTAAAATTTTGAAGTATTCAATTCTTTTCATTTTCCTACTCATTTTCTGGAAAATGAACCAAACACACAAAGACAGTTTTATATTATGTAGCCAAACACCGGAAAGGAAAATATTTTTTAGAAAATGAGTCATTTTTCAGAAAATATTTTCCTCAAGTCATTTTCCTGCTTTCTAAACGGAGCCTTATATTGATTTAAGTAAATAAGTTTAGTTTTCTTTTCATTAAACTAAATAAGTTTAGTTTAATTGTGGTAAAAATATATTAAATATTCAAGCGAGAATAACTTTAAAGTATGAATTTATACTATTAAAATATTTTAAAGGTTAGTCATAAACCAACTCATTTAAGTCGGTCTTAGGCCTAATCACTCGAAGTTATAGAATTATGTATTGGAGCATAATTGTGTTCCAACAATGGGCACAAATGAAATTTCGCCTTTCTTTGTGCGTTATATGCATTGTAAACTTTTTCATATAATAAATGCATAAAGTTTTAAAAAGTGTTTTCGGTAATGAAATAATAAATTCTGTTGTATGTATTTTTTAAAAGTGAGATTTTTTGTGAAATTTTTCAATTTAGAAAGAAATTAAAGACAATTTTTAAAAAATAAGATAATCTTTTTTTTACTTTTTTTATTCTTTAGAATAACATTGTCCTTTCTTCAAAACTAGAATCCTATGGTTTTAGTTCATCAAACATGTTCCAAATGCCCAATCACTCTTTCGACAATCATTATACCGTGGATCGTGGTTCACATTCCGAAATAGGCCAATGATATATAAGTTTATTTTTAATATATTAAAGGTTCATTAATGTACATATTGTTATTTTGAATGTTCACTTTTAGTTTATTGCAGATTCAATTTTAGTATATATACTACTTAAAATTAATAGTTAGTATACTAAAAAAATACTGTAATATTTAAGAATAATGGTCAAATAAACCATCCAACTACACACCAAACTGTAATTAGGTCACTGAACAAAAAAAAAAAAATTACAGTTCAGTCCTTGAACAACAAAAATTTATGCAATTTAACCTAAAATGACTTATTTAGTTGTTAATTATGCTGATGTGTCGATCACTGAGACAATGGGAACCCCTTCGTCTCCGTCTCCATCCAGCCATGGAGACCAAGGGGACCCCTTCGTCTCTGGCTATTTTTTTAAATTTAAAATAACTATTTTATTAAAAATTATTAAAATAAATATAAAAAATTATTTTTAAATTCGATGACCGACACGTCAGCATAATTTACAAGTAAACAAGTCATTTTAGGTTAAATTGCATGAATTTGCATTGTTCAAGGATCCAATTATATATATATATATATATATATATATATATATATATATATATATATATTTTAGTTTAGTGACCTAATTATAATTTTGTGTGTAGTTGGATGGCCTATTTGACTCTTATTCTGTAACATTTATTAGTGGTCCACATTACAAAATGTGGATCACTGTTAATGTGAATCACGGTTCATAATATAATTTGCCATGTTCATATATTCGAAATTAAAAACCCCATTCAACAATCCGGCTATGTTTGTACAAGTCCGAGTTTGAAAAGAATCCCAAATAATTTTTTTTTTTTAATGACGAGAAAAACCCGCAATCAATCTACTATTTGATTAACTGAGAGTACGCGGGATAAGCCATGCTTTTGTGTAATAGCCTGCAACAACCCAGTTTAAAAAGTGTTGATAAAAATCAAACTTATAACATTCCGATACAAAAAATCATATTTCACCCACCCAACTTCGTCTTTCAGGGTAATGTATTACTCTTTTTAAGGAATATATATGTAATCTCTAGATAACAATAATTCATCAAATCATTTATATTTTATAATAAATACATACATTCCAAAAAATCATATGCTGTATTACTCCTTTTAAGGAATATATATGTAATCTCTAGATAACAATAATTCATCAAATCATTTATATTTTATAATAAATACATACATTCCAAAAAATCAAACTTTCTATATAAACTCGATGGCAAATTCAAACCTCATCAATAATCGGCATGTCCTACATTGAAAGGAATTTCTCAAATGATGTTCCAATTTAATATTGTTTGAAAAATGTTGCACGAGTTATGATCAGCATTAACTAACAATCAGATTATGGCAGAATCCAATTACAGTAACGTAGTGTTGGCCCCAGTCAAAGCGACGACCGTAACATACCCTTTATACATGGGAAGCCTCGTGACTCAGAATGATTACTATCATCTCGAAGAATCCTAAGACGCTGTATTCATGAATGTGGACAATAAATTAAAATTCTCGAAATTTAAAGTAAGATAAAACAAAACATATATGTTTTAAATAAATGAAAATTAAAAAAAAATAATTTAGAGGGGGTAAAAAGAATTATTTAATTAATTAGTGAGTAGTAAAGAATTGGGAGAGGAGACAAGGATGTGATGAGAGTGGGGTGGGGCCATCACAGCGTATAGTATCGACAGAACTCCACTTTACAGCAAAAAGATATGAAATGTTAAAAGATATAATTTGATTATTTTATCATATGTGCATTCCCCCGTCTGTGAAATGATAGTAATATGCACAGAATTAAATATAATATTATATAATATCTCCTCAATATTCTTTAATTAATATCATCCATCAATGCCTATAAACTGTCCATATAAAATATTATTTTACGGGGTAATGGATAAACGAATAAGTGGAATATGATTGCTGTATTTAAAGGACATGATGTGCTCCTAATAGTTACAGTGTAGGAGTTACACCGTAATGTGATGGGCTCCTAGCATTGATCCTCCCACTTAATGTGCTACTAAATTACCGTAATTTACTCATCCACTATCTTGTCAGGTCGAAGTCCTAAAGACGGAGAAATTTTACCTTTTGTTGTGGGGAAGAAAAAAAAAAGTTTCTTCATAGTGTCTCAACTAACAACCTTGACTAACCCCTTCAAAAATTTAAGAAAAAAAAAAAAAAAACACCTTGACTAACAAAGTTTCCCATTTTCCAACAAGTTGAAGTTATGGAGTAATTGATTAGGGTATATACATAGTAGTCAAGAAGCAATTTAAGGAGTTGTACTCCACGACAGGAGACCCGCACATAACATGCACGGATGCACCCAGTCGCCAGACATTGCATGACTAGAATATACTATATATGTAGTTTGAATTCCCATGCATTATTGTTGTATAGGAGTTAATGTGTGTTTCCATGTGACAGACATTAATTTTTTTTAACCTTTTTAATCATCAGATCACGAACTGAAAATAATTTACTTATGAATAACAATTGTAGTATATATGTAATCACTTCTAGAATATCTTCATTGATGGATGTGTTCCAAACATTTCTGTAACTTCATTAATTAAATTTACAAGCCTGATCAAACCAAAAAGCACTACTCAAAAGGAAATATTATAAATATTGGAAATCCCAAAATTAATTTATTAAATTAAGTCTGTCTTAGTTGTTTTTTTTTTTTTTTTTTTTTTTTTTTTTTTTTTTTTTTAAAGGTAGAAAACATGGGCAGAAATGGTAGTGAGGTGGCAATAATAACATTATTTCCAATTTTAGAATTTTTACCCTACCCCATATTTAATTACATTTCTTACATATGTAAAATTGAGCAATCATTTGTTCAAATTCAAACAATGATAACATCAAAATACATATCCAAACCATATCTTCAATTGTATTATATAATATTTGATGTTCCAATTTAAATAAATATATGTCAATTCAAATATTTTTAATATATTATAATAAATTCATTCCGTGCAACGCAGGGGCGAAAATACTAGTATTAAAAAAAACGTGTATTATTATCAGTCTTACATAAGATGAGTTGTTTAAACAAAACATTTAACGCCAACGGATTTGTTTTGAAATTTAAAACCAAGTGAATAGCGGTGGATTTCGAAAATTATGAGTAAGAATTAATGGATGAAAAGTGAGATTACCTCGTATTACAGAAATTACATTGATCCAACATGGGAACAACGTTGTACATAATCTGTAAAGTGGCTGTCAGCGTGGATTCTGGAGATAAAACACAATTATGTTTGCTTAATCCCAACTTATTCACGAAATTAGAGAAGAGGGTAAGAACGTTAAACCCGTGAGTAACGTCCAGCGAAGGCTTCACCCCATCCACGCCGTTTTCCTAACAAAGCTCACACGCTACTCGGGTGGTACCGGCTAAAGCCCGATTAACGAGGAGATTACGTGGCTAACGGCGCTTTTGTTTTGTCATCACGTTGGCTCAAGCCCCACGCCGTACTGGCGTTGATCTGGATAACGGCACGTGAGTTGCCCCGTTAGAAAAACATGGACGGCATGACCCCCGTTATTGTTAACGACGTTAGCCCCTGGCCCACAGGACAGACAAACCCGTTTATTAATAACGCAATCCAAAAAAAAAAAAAAAAAAAAAAAAAAGAAACGCAATCCAAACCGTTCCTTAGCTGCCATCACCTTGTCACCATAATCATCACACCTCTTCTCTCTCATCCCAACGCTTGATATAAGAGCAGCGGAAAGGAGATATTCTCAGAGCCTGCAGTCTCATTCGAGCGAGAGAAAGTTCGAATACTGACTGCAAAAAAAAAAAAATAAAAAAATAATACTAATAAAGGTGTAGATCGAGACATCGAGGAGTGTTATGGGGAAGTATCTGACGATGTCAAACGGAGCTGAGGAGGAGGTGGCGGAGATAGGCGTGAAGACGAAGAGAGCTCGAGAAGAAGTGGATGCAGGCGAGGAAATGGAGGTGGTTAAGAGGAGGAAGATAGGTGAAGGTGAAGGTGAAGGTGAATTGAAGCCGTTGTCTCCGTCTCCGGCGCCGGCGCTGCTTCAACTGGAAAATTCGGTTGCTCCGGAGAGCTGGCTCGATCACGCTATCAACCAATCAAGCGAGCTCAGTTTGAAAAACCTGGAATTCGTAGATCTAGAGGTTCGTCAACTCTGAATTTCTTCTGATTTCATGATCAAACCGTACAACTAATCACATACACCGCCTCGATCATATCACTCTATACACACACACACATATATGTATATATATATGCTGCATATATAACTGTATGTAGAACGTACCTAACGTAGAATGGATGAATTTGTGTTGATTGTAAGCATGTCTGGATATTAAATTCATTTTGGATGCAGGAGGAAGCTGATGGCTTCAGGACGCCTAAACGCAATCCCGATATCGCAGAGAGGTACATTTTCAATTCATTCCTTGATCGCGGTATTTAACTTTCGAAATCCACTGAGAGAGAATACGTGATGAATCACGTCTCTTCAATTTTGAAATTTAAATACTGAGCGGTTCTGATTGGCCGCACGTACGCTCATCACTAGATTCTTCCCCCTTCAATTCCAATATCTATCTCGTTGTTTTCTTCAATTCTCCGATCCTGTCGTCCTTCAGGTTGCATTTAATTTGTCGTTTTGCAGTGAAAAGATGCCGCCGTTCCTCGCCAGGCTGGTGCCGCCGAGGCCGTTTAAATTTCGTCTGATTTCGAAATCAATCCCGAAGAACTATCCATTTGCTGCGGATGTTGAATTCTTCGCTGCTGAGGAACAAAAGCGTCTGAGAGAATTTTCTGAGAAGTACGGATAGTTTTTCGATTTTGTTAGAGTTGCATAGAAATTTATATATATCTATATCAGAACTCATCGTCGCTCATAAATCTGCAAATTAAATATACATTGTTTCAGGTACAACTTCGACTTTGAGAATGAGGAGCCAATGGAAGGCCGTTACGAGTGGGTTAAATTATTAGGAGAGCCGGCCATGAAGGTAGCTGATGAAGAAGAAGAATCAGCTGATGAAATCCCTGTAGCGTCGTCGGCCATGAAGGTCGCCGATGAAGATTCATCAGGAGATGAAGTCAGTCTGATCTAGCGTCGCAGTAAATTATTATCTATGATAGCAGCGGACAGCCAGTTTTTCCATATTTATTTAGGCTTTCCTTATTCGGATCTTAGCTTTAATTTACCGCATTTCCATTATTGAACATTCCCCCTTTAAATTTCGTGGTCGCATTATATATGTACAGCTAGAGGTAGATAGATAGATAGATCGATCTCCCTTTAGTTATCAAACTTGGAGCTCTGATCTCATTTTCTTCTCATCTCCCTGTGAAAACATGTTTTTCACTAGCTTCAGATCAGAGCTTCATGTCGATCATATATATCAATTCAATTCCTTTCTATATCAGTAATCGCCTGCATTTCTTCTACTTCATTAATTATATTCTGGCCTGTATGTATATATATGTATCTATAGTTCGTTCTATACACACAGCCTTGCCGTGTAAGTTACGTGCATACGCGCGTTGAACTTAACAACGGTGAACTGATCTAACTTCTAAGCCCACGTGGGCCGGGAAGGTTTGTTTCCGTCTACTGGAATTTGACGGACTACCATTCCGCCGTTAAGTTGCATGGTTTTAAGTTAACCGTGCGTGTATATATCGTTTATTTTATAATATAGTAGCGGTACAAACAATGAGGGGAAAAGGGAAGCTAGAGAGTCTTCGTTTTCTTTAACCAAAGGGTGAAAAAAAGTAGTGGTGGAAAGGAGATGGACAGTGGGCTTGTCCTCGACGACCTGGAATATAAGTTTTGGTGCCATGAATGAGAAAGAGTTGGGGCCGGAAGAAATTTTGTTGGAGTTGAGGTCCCCCCACCCCCCAACCCCCTTGGGGGTGGGTTGGGGGGGGGGGGGGCGGAAGCCACTAGATTTTTTGCACTTGGCTACTTTCTAGTTCCTCAATGTCGACAAAAGTTGGGCGGAGAATTTTTAGGTTGTTTATTAAAATTATTAAAATCTAATGATCATTCCTAAACTGATGATTAGAGTGCCCTTTCTTGTATACCACCCATTTTCCCGCCCTCCGATCCGTAACGTACAAATTAAAAAAACATAACGTCCCTAATCATATCAAACGAGAAATCATGAACAAATTATATATATCTAATTTTTAGACTCAGAGCCAGCGAGGCATATAATAAGATGTGATTCTAATGTTTATCTGGTAGTTAGTCTAACATAACTTTTTTCTCTGTCATCACTAATTACTAGTCTGTCTCACGTTTACCAAAGAAATCATTAAATTTAGTTCTTTTGTCCGATCGTTAGAAATTTTCTTGTATTGTGCACCTATGAAAAACGTATCCAATGTTATTTAAATTTCAAACACGAGAAATTTGTCTTGTATTGTGTACCTATAATAAACGTATCCAATGTTCTTTTGTCCGGCCGTTAGAAATTTTCTTGTATTGTGCACCCTACGAAAAACGTATCCAATGTTATTTAAATTTCAAATGCGAGAAATTTGTCTTGTATTATGTACCTATAATAAACGTATCAAATGTAATTTTAATTTGAAATGTGAGATATTTGTCTTGTACTGTGTACCTATGATAAACGTATTCGATGTTATTTAAATTTTAAAATGAGAAATTTCTCTTATACTGTTTACCTATGATAGACGGATCTAATATTATTTAAAATCTTAAAGAAGGAACAATCAGTAAAAACTAAGTCATCATTAAAAGAATATTGACCTATTCATTTTTTTTAATGAACTGAAATCAATAAAGAATTTCTAAATCAATGCGTAATGAGGAGTATATGACAGGCACTCAATCACACAAGTGCATGTGATGATTGAATGAGTTATAAATTACGCAACTAATTAAAAATGCCACGCGAGTAATTAAACAAATCTTTAAAAATGAGTAAAACTCAAGACAAGCTGACACAAACTAACTCCAATTTGCAAATTGCATTGTGATTTGGGATCCCAAAAATGTAAGTTGGTACAACTGTTAGGATGTAGCCAATAATGGAAACTAGCACGCATATATATATATATATATATATATATATATATATATATATATATATATATATATATATGCGCTTCATATGCGGCCATGCGGTCACTCACCATTAAGTACGCATAGATACACCACAAAGTGTTCGGAAATGCACAATTAGGTGTGGTACATTTTTTTTGGTGTGTTTTGTGTTGCGGTGCATTTCATTGTGCTGTATTTGCGAAATTTCGCCGGTCACTTTTTTTTGCCTGAAATTTCACAATTGTCGCCGGACATTTTTTTTTTTTTTTGAAAATTTCGCCGGAGGTTGACCGGAACCCTAATAACATGGGATAGCAGGTCATTAACCTGTTTTTGGGCTTCATTGCACGAAAATAAAATGTTGATGGGTGTAATTGCACCTTTAAAAAGTTGAGGGGGCTAATTGACAATCGTTATGCTGTGAGCACGTGCCCACCTTGCATGGTGCGCACGAATCTTTGTCCATGATTTCTATACTGTAGATCCATAATTTCTAGATTCATAATTTCTAAAATTGTAGGATCCATAATTTAAATACAGTAGATCCATAATTTCTATATTGCACTGATTTGTGAAAACATGGTTCAACAATTGGAATCTAAAGTATAAATTTTAGCTCATCAAGATTCTAGAAATTATGGATATACAGTATAAAAATTATGAATCTACAATATAAAAATTATGGATATAGATTCGTGCGCACCATGTGCATGGTGGGTGTTCATAGTATAATTTGCCACTAATTGACTTTTTAACTAAAGTTCGAGAGCCTATTTGACCATTTTCTTAACACACACACACACACATATATATAGTCACGTTAAGGGGCGAAAACAAAAGAATAATGTAACGCTACTAAATATAGGTATTGGATCAATTGCTAGCTGACACCTAGGTCTCTGGGAATGATCAAGGCTCTAAAGCAAGGGAAAACAATCGTAACTATCTCAAACTTTAAAGTGTACCGACCAATTCAAACTACAAAGTACATAATAAGCAACACCTCAAATGGGCAACCAGATGTGTGAAGTGCAGTCTATTGAGCGCATCTCTACACGTCATCATATGTACTTTGTGTGTAGTTGTTCACGATGCACTTTAAATTTTAAAATATTTATCAAATACCATCGTATTTTTTTCTATTTCATCCTTACTTCACAGTTGTGGATAAATTTGTTTGTATGTGTGTGTGGTGGACCTTTGGCTAAGTAAATTGATTGAATGAAGGAATCTGGTTATGTAGATAGGTAGATAGATATGAGAATGGAGTGAGTAGCAACAACACCTCAGACATCATTTTGTACTACGCAAGCATTCTTCTTGGATCTGGTGATGTGATCAAATAGTAAAAAGAAACCCTAAAATGAAAAATATGAATGAAGGCATCGAATTCCCAGATTTCCCAGTTTGAAATATTGCCAATAATGTGGACCAAAGGTTTATCATCATTTACCCAATTAGATAAAATTCTAGATCATAATTTATGCCTCATTTGTCTGTCCCATTATTTCATTAGTGCACCATTCCATATATAGTGTGTACCTAGTTTGTCATGGATCTTAGAAGGTTTATATCCATAACACCTCATGACACTAAAGTTTAAATAAATCATTTATCGTTACACCGACAACTTTAAATATTTAAATAATAAATTTATTTTGAAATGCGTAATTGGGTGAGTAGAACATGACACTTGTATTTAAAAGTTATAAGTATTATTCTTGTACACACTCTTTTAATCGAGCCCGTCACACAATATATATCTTCCTAATGCGATTTACTTCAATTCTCATGTATAGTTTACAGTACATATCACCGGATAATTAATGAATGCGGAATTTCCTAATGTCTAAATTAGCTATTTTGTCTTTTCAACCACTATTGGTTGAACAACTACATACACACTTGATGTTCTAGCTACGTCCCCAATTGTTTCAACGAGCCTTGTTAGTAGTAGTAGTAATAATTCGAGCCCATAAAGCGGTAAAAAAAGACTCTTTGTGATAAAAATTTTAGGTTTTTAACTACTTTTTGATGATAAGAAACAACAAAATTTTCAACATTAACTAGACGTAAATAGAAAAAGTAGTCTATCAATAATACATAGATAATCATACTTAAATTCATTACTTTCATTTTTAGTTATTTAAGAGCAATCCTTCTTAAATTAATAGTAACATGTCACTCATTAAATCAAAATTAATGGTAGTACTGTTATAGTTGTATAGCTTCGTCAATTTATATCATAAATTTCATAAATATGCTTCTAGACTTATAAAGAAATAAATTGGACCAATTTAATTTTGAGATTCACCATTTAACAATTCACATTAAATTCATTTGAAATTTTACTTTTATATATTAACCCGCAAATCACCTGAGAATAATTAACAGGCAACTGTCCAATGTGCGGCCCATAAAAATTTTGCCATATCGGCCCACCGGCCGGGCTTTGGCAAATTATATTGTGCATGGTGTACACGGATACAGAAACGACGTCGTTTTGAATTAAAATGCGTTTCCCACTTTAAAAAAAAATCAGTTTCGATTCCCAATAACAACATTATGTTGTGCATAATTTGAACTATATATCCAGAATCAATGAACTAAAAATCTATAATGAATGAATTAAAAATACAGAATGAATGAACTAAAAATCCATAATGAATGAACTAAATATCCAGCATGAATGAAAAAAAAATCATTTTCGATTTCCGTCTAAATATCCAGAATCAATGTACTAAAAATCCAGAATCAATGAACTAAAAATTCAGAATCTATGGACTAAAATTCCAGAATGAATAAACAACATAATGCTGTTGAGGAGAATCGAAACTGATTTTTTTTTTAAAAGTAGGACGCGCATTTTTAGTCAAAACGACGTTTTCTGTATCCGTATGCACCATGCATGGTGCACACGGATGCACAGCATAACGATTGCCGGGCTTTCCAGGTCTTATCCCGATGTTTTCGGGAGTTTTCCCTATTAAGAATGTTCTGTTCTTTGTCGTTGTCTCTTCCATTAATTTTCCAGATATCACTGTCTTCATACGTTAAACTTATGTATACAGAAACTCAATTATCAAACCATTTCAATTACAATGCGAAACAGGAAAAAAGCTTGACAACTTCTGTCTATACAATCTCAATAGATCCAGTTGATCTTGTCGAGGACACCGATCTCGTGGACCCCGCTTTCGGCACAGAATATGGAATGGATCTTGACGAACTCTCTGCTGCAATGTTATGCAGAATCAGCCCTTTCACGATCTGTTTGAACTTTCGTCTGTAAGTCGGAAACTTCGATACACTTCTTATCATCCCCACCATTCTGCCACAATAATATATAAAACATA